TTTGGCTGAAAAGGAAAAGTAAGCTAAATATTTCAATAGGGTCCATCTGACGAAAAAATAGGTCCACGTTTGCGTCTGTCTGTCTGTCTATCTGTTCGCCGTCTGTGTCGATTTTTGTCAAATTTTGTATACGTTATGAATATCATGCAGATGGGAAAACTCTAAACAACCTTTGTCTAATTATCCCCACTAACAATGTGAAAACGGCACCTCAAAACTGATACATTTTAAATTTTATAAAACAACATACGTGTAGTTTATGAATCCATGTTGAATTTTTATTCAAGGCATCCATAGTTTTGAAAAAGAAAATGTTGCGAACGTTTTGGGGTTATCGTAAGCATGCCAAGTGGTTAATCAAAATTTATTCGTCTACTCCCTTCCAAAAAATTAATGACGCCATCTCAAAATTTTACCGAATAAATCCTGTCTAAACTAAGCAAGATATAATAACTCCATGGTTGTAATTTATCAATGCATTAATCGTTTTTTTTTTTAGGCGATCATTACAAATCTAGTCCTACGTCCCCAATCATGTGTCATTTTTTCATACTGAAATGTCAAAATTACTTTTTTGGACTAACTTGTCACTTTTCGCCTTACGTTTTTCTTAATTTTTTTAAATAAAAAAAAGCCAAAAGAGCCGTTATTTGAACTCTACTTTACTAAATATTGTGTTATGCAGCCGTGACTATACCTACCAATTTTTTTCTTGGTGGAAAAGCAAAATAGCAACAACAAAAAAATCTCTTACGTACTCTATTATTTTTCTGTATAGTCGTCTAAAAAACGTTCAACTTCAGATCGGCCGAAAAAGTGCCTCTTTATGGCCTTGATCCATAAATAACTAGTATAATAACTTATACAAAGTCACTCAAAAAACTTAATAAATGAGCCTATTTTATTAATCAAATCAAGATCGGCTGAACCCATTTTCTTGAAAATTTTATAACTTCAGACTATTTTTTATTAAAACCTCAACGTGCTCGCTGCGCTCGCATTCTAAACATTTTTTTGCGCTTTAGTCTCATACAAGTAAGAAAGAATCTCAACGAAGCTGTCTAGGTTTTATTGTAATGTTTAATAAATTTTTAGACTTACTAATTACTTTAAAAATACAAACATTTAGAATGCGAGCGCAGCGAGTACGCTCAGGTTGCTGAGGTCTTTCCGACTTTAGTATTCACAAAAATTTCAAGATTCACTTTTTTGGAAAATAAAAAATCCTCTCATTAATAATAAGTTCCCCAGGAACACTGAAACTGATAATTCTAGAGATCTCCCTGTGAAGGTAAATTACTCTGAAAAAACTAATGCCTAAAGTGCAAGCGTAGCGAGCACGTTCAGGATTATCTTTAGGAGAATCTTTAGGGCAATTTTTAAACTTACATTTTTAAATAACAACAAAATTGGTCTTAATAATTAACCTAACGTGCATTTTAAACTTCCTTTTTCAGTTTTATTCTCATAGAAGTGGCCAGGAAAGAGTCTCAGCGAAGTTGTTTAGGTTCTATTGTAAGAATATATTGTTACGAAATAAACCCATACGCCGCTCTGGTACGACGCCTATGGGTTCTAGTATGTACGGCGACGATCGGTGACTCATCGTCCGTGACGGCGGCCGGGCGCCGTTCGCTAAAGAAAAACCTGGAAGCGAAAGTCGCCATGGGTATTCCTGAAAGACCTTGACTGCGGAACTCTTCTAGAAGGGAAGTATGGGTTTAAATAGAGGCCACCTCCGGGAACGAGATTATTCAATGAACGAGCCGAGTTCGGTCAAGACAGAGTTCAGTGAAGTTGCGCCGGAGTTATTTTGAACATAATCTCTGCGTAATCAGTCGTGTAAATTTGAATTATTGAGAAATAAATTAGTGAGATTTACCCACGCCGACTTTTAATCACCGATCATCGTAACAATATCTCACGTCTAGATTGCTGGAATCTCCCCAATTTTAGCAAATAATTACAAATATTTTTAGGATTCACCTTTTTTTAGATAACAGAAAATTCTGAAAATTTTGCTTAACATCTAAAAGTGCTCGCTGCACTCGCCTTCTATTGTAAATTACATGATTATATATTTTTTAATAAATCTAGAGTCAAAAGCATTTACAAATAAACCATTAGCAAGACTACTTAGTTTATTATTATATATAATAATCCTTGAGATCTCCCTGTCAAGGTAAACTACTCTGAAAAAAGCAACCTCTAAAAGGCGAGCGAAGCAACCACGTTCAAGATGTTTCAGTCCCATAGATATTAATGATCACAATCTTTAAACTCACAATGTTAAGTAACAATAAAACTGTTCTTAATAATTTAGCTTCTCAGGACACCAATAAATAATCATTTTTAAAATTGCACCTGAAAGTGCTCGCTGCGCTCGCATTTTAAACATTATAGTCACAAAAGTGTGCAGAAAAGAGTCTCAGTGAAGTTGTTTGGGTTCTATTGTAGGAATAAATCTATAGACTTAAAAAATACACCGTTAGAACACGAGCGCAGCGAGCATTTCTAGATTGCTGGAATCTCCCAAACTTTCACAATCAGAAATATTTTTAGGATCCGTCTTTTTTAGACGACATTAATAATAGTTTGTCTTCCTAGGGACATACATTTTTTTTTAACATCTAAATATGAACGGTCACAGCAAGGCTAATTTAGTTTTTCTTATAATTGTAGGTAAGCCAATAAAAATATTGTTGCCCCGGTGGGAAGGAACCACGTTTCCCGTTTTCCGGGAGGGTGCCCTGACCATTAGACTACAGAGCGGATTATCTTTCTTCGCGTACCAACCTATTATTGTGCCACCAAATAATAATTCTCGAGAACTCCCTGTCAAGGTAAATTACTCGGAAAATTCAAGCTCTAAAAGGCGAGCGTAGCGAGCATATCTATAATTATTAGTGATCACAATCTTTAAACTCACATTTTTAAATAACAACAAAATTCTTCTTAATAATTTAGCTTCTCGGGGACACCAATAAATGATTTTTAAAATTACACCTGAACGTGCTCGCTGCGCTCGCATTTTAAACTTCTTTTTTCGACTTTATTGTCACAGAAGAAGAAAAAAGTCGAATCATTATTAATAACATTTAAATATGCTCGCTGCACTCGCATTCTGAATGTTCTTTGTTAATTAATTTAGTGTCATAAAAACATTTGCGAATAAATTATACTCCGAAAAAGACAACGTTTAAAGGGCGAGCGTAGCGAGAAGTCTAGGATTATTAGTGCTCACAAACAATCTTTAAGCTCACATTTTTAAATAACAACAAAATTGTTCCTAATAATTTAGTTTCTCAGGGACACGGATAAATGATTTTTAAAATTACACCTCGCTGCGCTCGCATTTTGAACTACTTTTTTCAACTTTGTCCCAGAAGTGTGCAGAAAAGACTCTCAATGAATTTATTTGGTTTCTATTGTAGGAATAAATCTATAGATTTCAAAAAACACACCCACCGAATACGAGCGCAGCGAGCATTTCTAGACTGCTGGAATCTCTGCAACTTTAACAAATAATCACAAATATTTTTGGAATCCACTTTTTTTAGACGATAGAAAATTCTCCCATTAATAATAATCTGACCTCCCAAGGACACTAACGAATAACTTTTATTAATATCTAAATGTGCTCACTGCACTCGCATTCTGCACATTCTTTTTTTAAATAAATTAGTGTTAGAAAAAAATTACGAATGAATGGTCAGCAAGGCTAATTTAGTTTTTATTATAATAATTCTCGAGATCTCCCTGTCAAGGTAAATTACTCCGAAAACCAACCTCTAACGGGCGAGCGTAGCGAGCAGTCTAGGATTATTAGTGATCACAAACAAGCATTAAACTCACATTTTTAAATAAAAACAAAATTGTTCTTAATAATTTAGCTTCTCAGTAAGACCAACAAAAGATTTTTAAAATTCCACCTGAACGTGCTCGCTGCGCTCGCACTTTAAACTTTTTTTCAAGTTTATTGTCACAGAAATGTGAGTCTCAGTGAATTTATTTCTGTTCTATTGTAACTGCAACTTTAACAAATAATCACAAATATTTTTTCTTTTTTAGACGACAGAAAATTCTCTCATTAATAATAATTTGGTCTCCCATGGACACTAACGATTAATTTTGATTAATATCTAAGTGTGCTCGCTGCACTCGCATTCTGCATCTTCTTTTTTTAAATTAATTTAGTAGCAAAAGCATTTATAAATGGAGTGTCAGCAAAACTACTTAGTTTATTATTATAATAATCCTCGATGTCTCCCTGTCAAGGTACGAAGTCAAAGAATGTTTACACTCACATTTTTAAATTACTCTTAATAATTTAGCTTCCCAGGGACACCAATAGACATTTTTTTAATTGCACCTGAACGTGCTCTCTGCGCTCGCATTTTAAACTTCTTTTTTTCAACATTATTCTCATCGAAGTGGGCAAGAAAGAGCCTAGATTGATGGAATCTCTCCAAGTTTAGCTGATAATCACAAACATTTTTAGGGTTCACGCTTTTTAAACAATAAAAAATTCTCTTGTTAATAATTTAATTTATAAGAACGTTTACGAATGGTTACGAAAGATTATATTCGTGATTAATTTTCGATAAAAATGTGACTGTACTGTATAAATTAATACACATTCAGTCCCTGTGGGTCACCTATATCCGCTAATAATTGCTGAGCCCACTCTCAGTGACGTCACGCCCAATTTAAGCCTACTAACTTGGCAATATGTTGCAAATATTAAAAAAATGCGGCAATAATGCTTACTCATTAAACAAGTAAGCTCGCACCCAACACCCACGCCTCTGGAGCGGATTCCGGATCTCCACAACCACCTCGACCCCGACTTCCCCAAATCTATTTTTTTTGTAATACCCAAAATCGCGCAGAATGCATCCGGCGCGCCTCAAGCCCCTGCTCTCGTCCCAATTTTTCGCTTCTCGTGCGTGCGGAAGCACGCACGGCCACGGGGGGTTCGGGATTGCGTCTCCACTTACCGACTGTAAACGAAAATATCCAAAAAGAAAGCAGCAAAGATTTCTTCTTCATGTCGCGTCTACAGGTTTTCCATGTGACGTTGTAACCTTAGCAACCACATATCAGAGCCGATTGTTTACAGTCCACGCAGTGTTCGTCGGCGGCGTCCGGGCGAAAATTCGGCTTTAGGAGAGAGTCGCGATCGGGCGAAAAAGTCTGCCACAAGTACACATGTGTCATAAGAGGAGAACACACTCACACGCGCAACATGCAGAGCGGTTCGTCGCCACAGACCGTGTACAGAAATCCAGCCGCTGTGTGTACGGCTAGTGGAGTATTGACCGGCAAAGACTGTCTTGCGCCGAGCTCGCTCCCCTCCCGCGTACAGGGGCGGACGAAGGAGGCCCGACCGCCGCCGCCGCCAAGACGAATGCACGCCCCGATCGGAGCGGCCCGGAAACGGAACCGGAAAAGTCAACGCCGAAATTGGCACTTGACGGACGATTTCTTTTGACGGCGCGCCGGAGCTGGCGGCGGCAAGATTATTCGCACTTTGGGGAATTACACTCGAAGATGATATCGAGTGATTGCGCAGTTTTGGTTCGTGGCGTTAGAAATCTAGATTTCGATTAAAAAAAATACTGAGCTAATTTGGAAGAAAACTCGGTTTCGTATTTTTACTTACACGGGTAGAGGAGACACTGAGAAGTGTCATTTAGACAAATAAATGTCCAGTTTTATGGTCTTTGGGATTTCGCTGCAACTGCCGAATAGATTACTTTAAAATTTTAATTTTTCTATTCATGTTCTCAAAACGATGGCATTCTTAATAACATCGATTAATATTTTATTTGTAGGTTATAAGGATGTCGCTCTTTTAAAACATAAGAAAATGATATCGTGCATGAAAGCCTCCTGAGCCAAAGTTCTCAAATTTTACTATTTTAAATATTTAAAAAATGCATCTAAATTTATTTAGATCGACATTCCGTCGCCCCTGATCAAGCAAATTCAGAATTTTAGGATAACCTCTTTAAATAAATTTGTCGTGTGTACAGTTAAAAAAGTCATCAAGTTGGCTTTGATTTTTGGTAAACGTTGTAAAGTATGTCTAAAATTAACCTAAAATTTAATCGATGACAGGTGACAACGTGGAAATGTTTATTGTATAAATTGGTACAAATTAATAAAACACATACGTTTCATTCTATCAAAAAAGCGACGCCAACTTGATGACTTTTGTAATTGAACACCCGTTATGTGTAGTAGATGGTTAAACTACACGTAAAAAATCATGTTAGGCGTATGTTTCTATTGAGTTTTTTTTTATTAAAATTCTGTAAGGTCTGAAAAACGCGCGAAAAAGACTCAAGGAAAGCGAAAAAAGCAAGAAGTAAAACACATGACAAAAACGCATCCAAATGCTAGAGAAAAATGTTACAAAAAAGGCGTCCTAAAAATAATTGGAAAAAAAGACAAATAAGATATGAAATATGAAAAACAACAAAAAAAAGAGATTAAAATGATATTACGAGAAAAAAAATTACGACAAAAAATCCAAAAATTAGGTAACAAAAAAAGACGACAAAAAATGTCCTAAACTTGAGAAACGGGCGACAAAAAAGTAAAAAAAAAGGCGAAAAAAAGCAAAAAAAGTCAACAAAAACACGTTAAAAAATGAGATAACAAAGAGACACAAAACGCAAGAAAAAAAGGACTATTAGAAAAGGCAAAAAGCGATCAAAAAGACCAGAAACCTAGAGAGAAATGACAAAAGAAGCGACAAAATTGGTATGCTAAAACAACAAAAAAAGAAACGACATGAAAAAAGTGACAAAAAAGTAATTGAAAAAATGCGTCAAAAAATTATCCCAAAAAAAAAGACAATAAAAAAGCAATATTATAAAAAAGACACCAAAGAAACACGAGGAAAAAAAAGGGCCAAAACAAGACGAGAAAAACATAAAAAAGACCTATAATAATATAAAGTTGCAACAATAAAAATGTTAAAAAACGTGAGAGAGAAAAAGAGACCAAAAAATTAGAAAAAAAGGCGAAGAAGAAACTAAAAGAAAGGTTAACAAAACAGATCCTAAAATACTCCAAAAATGGACAAAAACCGACCAATAAAGGCAACAAAAAAATGTGTTCAAAAAAAGAACGACAAAAAAGCAAAAAAATGGTTCCAAAAAAAAGGGATTCAAAAGAAAAGGCAAAAAAAAATAATAGTAAAAGTAATAAGAAAAAGGACCAAAAACACGCAAGAAAAAAAGGCAAGGTGGCAAAGAAACGGAAAAAAAACAACAAGATAAAAAGACGCAAGAAACGTAAGTAAAAAGGGCGCCAAGAAACTTGAAAAAAAGAGACAAAAAAGCCAAAAAAGGTGGAAAAGCAATTCAAGGGTGATAAAATTTTCAAAAAAGTGGCAACAAAAAAAATGTGTTAAAAAAACGATTAAAAAAATAACCCAAAATAGGAACAAAAAAAAAAGAAAGAGGCAAGGCGACAAAAATAAAAAGAAGGGGAAAAATTCACCGAAGAAAAAGGGCACCAAAAAACGTGACAAAAAAAGGCGCCAAAATAGTAAAAAAGGGGACAAAAAAGGATTAGGGAAAAAAACAAAAAAAATTGCAAATAAATCAAGCCGATAAAAATAGTGAGCCAAAAGGGGACAAAAATAGGTATGAAAAAAAGAAAACAGAAATCAGGAAAAAAAGGCGATTAAAATATGTATAGCAGAAAAGACGAGAAAAAGGACTAAAAAAAAGACGACTCCATAAAAGACAATAAAAAAAAGTCATATTATAAAAAGGGGACCAAAGAAACGTGAGGAAAAAAAGGACCAAACAAGAAAGGATAAACATAAAAACGACCTATAAAATCCGAAAACTTAACAATAAAAATGTTAAAAACGTGTGAGAAAACAAGGGACCAAAACAATGAGAAAAAAAAGAAAGTAAAATACCACAAAAATTGACAAAAACCGACCAATAAAAGCAATAAAAAAATGTGATTAAAAAAAGAATGACAAAAAAACCAAAAACAACGGGTCCAAAAAAAGATATACAAAAGAAAAGGTAATAAAAAATAATAGGGAAAGTACTTAGCGAGGGGACCAATAAACACACAAGAAAAAAAGGCAAGGTGACAAAAAAACGGAAAAAAAAGGCCCAAAAACGTGATTTAAAAAAAAAAGGTACCAAAAAACTTGATAAAAAAAAGGGACAAAAAAAGCCAAATAAAAAGGTAAAAAAGCACCAGAAAAAAATGGCAACAAAAAAATGAGTTTAGAAAAACAATTTAAAAAATGCCTGCGAAAAAAGGGGCAAAAAAAAGACAAGGGCAAGGCGACAAAAACAAAAAAAAACCAAAAAATTCAGCAAAAAAAAAGGTACCAAAAAAAGCACCAAAATACTGTGAAAAAAGGGACAAAAAAAGAATAAGAAAAAAAACAAAAAAAAGGCAATTAAATTAAGACGATAAAAATAGTGCGACCAAAAAGCGACGAGAAAAAGTAACAAAAAAAAAAGATAAAAAGAGAGACAAAAAAGGGGCAAAAAACTGGTATGAAAAAAAGGAAACCAAAAATCAGGATCAGAAATAAAGGCAACAAAAAAATGTGATTAGAAAGAGAACGACAAAAAAGCAAAAAAATAGTTCCAAAAAAAAGGGATATAAAAGAAATGAGTGGAGATAGAAAATGTTATAAAAAAAATAATAATAAGAGTAGAATAAGAAAGAGGACCAAAAACACAAGAAAAAAGGCAAGGTGACAAAAAAACGAAAAAAAAAACAAAATAAAAAAGTACAAAAAAGCGTGAAAAGAAGAAGAAATTTTAAAAAAGAGACAAAAAAAGCCAAAAAAAGGTGAAAAAGCACAAGAAAAAAATTGAAGAGTGGCAAAATAGACCCAAAAGAAGCAATAAAAAAAATGTGTTAAAAAAACAATAAAAATAATATCCCAAAAAAAGAACAGAAAATAAGAAAAGGCCAAGGTGACAAAAGCAGAAAGAAAGAAAAAAAATCAGCGAAAAAAGAGCACCAAAAAACGTGACAAAAAAAGCGCCAAAATAGGGAGAAAAAAAAGGGACAAAAATAATTCTAGGAAAAAAACAAAAAATTGGCAATTAAATCAAGCCGATAAAAATAGTGCGACCAAAAAGCGACGAGAAAAAGGAATAAAAACTAAATAAAAAGAGAGACAAAAAGGGGAACAAAAACAGGTATTAAAAAAAAGAAAACCAAAAATCAGGAGAAAAAGGCGATAAACGTAGCAAAAACGACCAAAAAGGGATTAAAAAACGATAAGCAGCAAACAAGTAAACGCAATAAAAAAGGACGACAAATAAAAAAAAACAAAACGAAACAAAAAAATGGGACGGGGGAAAGACGACAAATAAAAAATGACAAAAGAGATCAAAAAACCGTCAAAAAATGGGCGAAAAAATGTAACAAAAGAGCGACAGAAACAAAAAAAAATACTAAACATCTACAATAAAACAAGCGAGGAAAAAAGGCGACAAAAAAAGTAACAGAAAAGCTACGAAAAATGCTACAAAAAACGTCAGAAAAAAAGAAAACAAAAACTAAAAAAAAAAACAACAAAAGAAAGTTGAAAAAAAGACGACAAAAAAGGGCGACAAAAAGAGACCGAAAAACTTACAAAAAAAAAACGGAAAAAAAAGAGGGAACAAAAAGTGACATAAAAATGGCTCTAAATTTGATTCAAAAACGGTGAAAAAAAGACGATAAAAGGGACCAAAAACCTGACGAAAAATACGATTAAAAAAATAATTAAAAAAAATATAAAAGTGACAAAAAACGCAACAAAAAAAAGGGGAGGATCAAAAAGTGATTAAAAAACCAAGACAAAATTGTTTCAAAAAAGGCACTCAAAAAAAAAAGGGAACCGAAGCAAGTGACTAAAAAAAGCTTCAAAACAAGACAAAAAAAACAACAAAAGGAAGAAACCAAAAAAAAATCAGCAAACTAGAAGAAGAGAAGAGGTGAAAATAAGGACGAAAAAGGCGACAAGAAAACAAATTTCAACAAAAAAAAACGCCAACAAAAAACGAGCAATACGTTTTCATGTTTTGTTGATTCGCAAATTATCGAATACAAAAATGCAAATATACCATCTGTCTGTAGTCTTTTTATTGGCGATTTTATTTTTGTTACGCTTATACATTTTTTATAATTTATTTAAGTAGTATCTCATATATTTTTTTGACATATCTTAAAATTGACTGCTTTTTATTATACAATACATACCTATTTCATGAAAATAGATTATAATATTGAAAAACAAACAATTTAAGG